GTGTGTATATATATATATATATATGCAATATAAGAGCATGGAATTGGTGCTTATCCCTGCAAAGCAGAAATTAAGCACAGGTTATCACAGATATTCATTTCTAACAATAAATGTCTGCTCTGTAGGGCTGTGCAAGGCAGCCCTAATTTAGTTCAGGGCCCAATGCAATGATCCAAATCGGGGCCCAGACCAATTCAACCCCCAAATCTAAATAGAGGCGTTGCAGACTCCTAATGCTTAATTAAGCTTCTAAACCAAAATAAATTAAGCATGCAGTCAGTGGTCGGGGGGAGAGAAGGAGACCTGCCAGCAGTGAGTCTTACCTGCATCATCTCCTTCCCCCACCCTCCTCTTTGCTGGCTTACAAACCCACCACCGCTTTTGATAGACGCAAATCGCTCCAGGTGGACCTGACCTGGGGTTGCCTCAGCATGAACAGGACAAATTCCAGATCCACCAAATGAGGGTCTAGGATTTGTCCAGACCAGATGCACAGCGCTACTGCTCAGCCCCTCAAATTTTTACCAGACACCTTCCTGTGCTTTTAACTCCTCTGTGTACTTCTGAGTCCTTTAAGACTGGAAATTGCTGGTGGTTCTTCTTTTTTTAATAAAAAAGGCCAAAGGCTACCTCAATATTGCAATTAAGTGGTATACAAATTTTCATAATAAATATTCATAAGAACATAACAGTATCTACTTTGGAAGAAAAAAAGGATTGTGGACGTAACGAATAAGCAGGGAGATATTGTGAATAAGCAGTACATGTGAAAAGGATCTAGGAGTATTGGTGACCACAAACTTGACATGAGCCAACAGTGTGACACGGCAGCTAAAAAAGCCAATGCAATTCTGGGCTGCATCAATAGGAGTATAGCATCTAGATCAAGGGAAGTAATAGTGCCACTGTATTCTGCTCTGGTCAGACCTCAGCACAGTTCAAGAAGGACACTGACAAACTGGAACGTGTCCAGAGGAGGGCAACCAAAATGGTCAAAGGCCTGGAAACGATGCCTTATGAGGAACGGCTAAGGGAGCTGGGCATGTTTAGCCTGGAGAAGAGGAGGTTAAGGGGTGATATGATAGCCATGCTCAAATATATAAAAGGATGTCATATAGAGGAGGGAGAAAGGTTGTTTTCTGCTGCTCCAGAGAAGCGGGCACGGAGCAATGGATCCAAACTACAAGAAAGAAGATTCCACCTAAACATTAGGAAGAACTTCCTGACAGTAAGAGCTGTTTGACAGTGGAATTGCTGCCAAGGAGTGTGGTGGAGTCTCCGTCTTTGGACGGTCTTTAAGCATTGAGCTTGACTACCATATGTCAGGAGTGCTCTGGTGGTGTTTCCTGCTTTGGCAGGGGTTGGACTCGATGGCCCTTGTGGTCTCTTCCAACTCTAATGATCTATGATTCTATTGGGATGTTCATATGCATATTCGCTTTGAGGGGGAAAGGCTTCCCTTTGAAATGACGTTATTACCTTCCCCCTCCCAAAAAGAGGAGCCGAGAGCCATATGATGCGCCATGTGGAAACCCGTAGTTCATCTCCCCACCAGTCTTCTTGTGCATGAAGCGGCAGAGCTGGAGGACCTTCAGGTTTCCCGATCCCGCCATCACCATCGCAAGGGACATCAGCACCACGCTCAGGCAAGTCTCCAGGTTGTAGTGGCCTGCCTTGAATATGTACACAGAGGAGGCAAGTGGTCAGTTCCACTTGTATCTCCTAAGCAGGGAAGCAACACAATCCCAGGCTCAGGAACAAGGAAGATCTTATTCAGAAATAATAATAATAATAATAATAATAATAATAATAATAATAATAATAATACCACCCTCCATCTGAAGACCACAGGGCAACTCCACAGCATAAGAATGCAGAATGAGAACGCAAAATACACAATAAAAGCAAAAGCAAACCAATAACTTCCCTCCCACAATCCTATGAATGGCTGCTCCCTGAGTTCAATGGGACTTACTCCTAGCTAAGTGTGTGTGTGTCTGGGTTTTAAAATAAGGACAACCATTAAGGTGTCTGTTGTAACCATTCCTCACAGGGGAGAGGCTGCTCCTTCATCTAAACTAAAAGGTAAAGGTAAAGGTACCCCTGCCCGTACAGGCCAGTCTTGACAGACTCTAGGGTTGTGCGCCCATCTCACTCAAGAGGCCGGGGGCCAGCGCTGTCCGGAGACACTTCCGGGTCACGTGGCCAGCGTGACATCGCTGCTCTGGCGAGCCAGAGCCGCACACGGAAACGCCGTTTACCTTCCCGCCAGTAAGCGGTCCCTATTTATCTACTTGCACCCAGGAGTGCTTTCGAACTGCTAGGTTGGCAGGCGCTGGGACCGAATGACGGGAGCGCACCTCGCCGCGGGGATTCGAACCGCCAACCTTTTGATCGGCAAGCCCTAGGCGCTGAGGCTTTTACCCACAGCACCACCCGCGTCCCCTCATCTAAACTAGGAGCAGGCAAAAGTTAAGTCAGAACTCTTGGGTGGTTTGCAGCAGGCCAGCAAGGGGTTCCCAAAACGCCAAAGAGCAGCAAAACATGTATGTAAATCTGGTTGCTGAACTGAATAAACTTTCGCGGGGGACCAGGAGTTGATTTTTGCGTGAAAGGACGGTGAGCTCACTTGGCAGCCCCAGTCCCTTCCCCACTTGGAAAACTTCAGTCCAAAATGCAGTTCCCATTTAGATAATAATTATTATAACAATATATTATTTAATAATAATAATAACACTAAATAAATAAATAAATAAATATCCCGCCCTCCCCAGCCAAAGCTGGGCTCAGAGCGGCTAACAACAGTAAAATAATACAGCATTCTAAAACCAATTCATTATAAAATCAGTTCAAATCAAATTAATGGCAACCATTGGGCTAGAGTTCTGTGAGGATTACCAAAGGAGGGATCTCAAATAACCCCTGCTTTAGAATAGCTGGACTGGTTTCCAGTTCATTTGCAGGCCCCATCCAAGGTCCTCAGGTGTGCTTAAAGCGTAAACAATGCAGGCCCCAAATATCTGAAAGACCACATCCTTCCCTACAGACCCTCTTGGGCACTGACACTGGGAGAGGGGCCCCTCTGTCCTCAGACGCTTGGAGGGGGTGGAAGCCTGCAAAAAGGGCTTCTCTATGGGAGCCCCTAAGTTACAGAACTCCTTCCCCACAGAAATGCACCTGGTACCTTCATTATACAGCTTCTAGAAAATGATACAAGACGCACCTCTTTGCTCTGGCTTTTGGCACTTGAGGTCTTTATTTTTTAAGACTCCCCTTGTTTTTATGACTGGAAGTTGTTTAAAGCTGTTTTTAATATTGTGTTTTAATGTTGTAACTTGCTCTGGGACCTTAGGGTCAAGAGTAGGCAATAAATAAATAAATAAAGCAAGCTGTGGACCACATTCGGAACAAGTACCCATTCCTCTTCTCAAACTCTCTGTTTAGCTAGCAGAAGGGTAGGTTACTGCAGTACTTGAGGACATGTGGGGTCAGGGTAATGGTCCAATGATCCCTCTCCCCCTCCCCAAAAAATTCAACCAAAACAGCATTATAAAATTTTGGATTTTACTATGAACAATAGTGAATCTGGAGAAACTTACTATGGAAGCCGTAGCCGAGGACAAACACTTCATGAAATCTTTTGCAAATGTGTACTAGACGGAGGAATTCAAAATTGGCACATGTCAGGAAAGCGCAAGAAACAACCGTGGGGCAGGGAGTGATCCTGGACTCTCAAGACATGCAAACCACTCACTCGTCCACCCTGCTAAAGCCTCGCCCATAAATATGCACCCTTCATTATTCTTTCGTAAGATCAGAATCAGAAGAGACCTGAAAGCCACCTGGCCCTGAAGCAAACACTTCTAAACCTATAATCCAGAGGCAAGAAGCAGGGGTTTCTCAGTTTTTGCCCCCGTTTCATCAAACCACACGCACACACACACACACACACACACACACACACACACACTGCAGCCTCCCTTTGCAACCTCCCAGAAAACATGTTAAAACCGTGTTTCTTCAAACAGGCACCCTATAATGTTCTGAACATTACAGTGGTACCTCGGGTTACATACGCTTCAGGTTACATACGCTTCAGGTTACAGACTCCGCTAACCCAGAAATAGTGCTTCAGGTTAAGAACTTTGCTTCAGGACGAGAACAGAAATTGTGCTCCGGCGGCGTGGCAGCAGCAGGAGGCCCCATTAGCTAAAGTGGTGCTTCAGGTTAAGAACAGTTTCAGATTAAGTACGGACCTCTGGAACGAATTAAGTACTTAACCCGAGGTACCACTGTATATTATTGCAGTAACAAGACTGCAGGTTATTTTAAGTTTGCTGCTGCTGCTGCTGCTGGCCCTTTGTGGATCTGTGCACTGCCGTCAGAAAGCAGGCATGAGCTAGTTGTCCCAGGCATGAGATGCTGAAATGTCATTCATCATTATGGTAAAACCATCCACATGGCTCAAGCAACATAGTATGGAAGAGTTGGAAGAAACATCATTCCCCAACCCTTTTCTTCTTTTAGGATGGGGTGGGGAACCTGCGTCCCCCTCCCTAGAAGCTGTTGGGACTCCAATTGCCTCTAGCTCCATTCAGCAGGGAGCGTATTGATCAGGGATGCTGGAAGTCACTGTGCAAAAACATCTGGAGAGTCGCAGGTTTCCTACTCCTGGTTTAGCATGTATCAATATCAAGCTTTCACAGGAACCCTGCAGTCACAACTTGGCCTTGAAATTCACAGGCACAGAACAGTGGGAAAGTGGGGGTTTGGGGAGGCATAAATTATGTACCCTGGACTTGTATATTTCCCTGAGATTACGTTACACTATAGAATCATAGAGCGGGGAAGGGACCACAATGGTCATCTAGTTCAACCCCCTGCAATGAATGAATCTTTTGCCCAACATGGGGCTTGAACCCACGACCCATCCCTGCAGGTCTATGATAATAAATCCTGACCAGCTACTGATGCACTTACCAAGCAGTTAAAGGCAGCTAGGTTTTCTGAACCGGCAAACCGAAAACCCAAAGACAAACAGGCACCAGCGATGATGTAGACATGAGCCTGCCTAAAAAGAAATGTTTGGCATAAGGTGTGTCTTCATATACAGTTAAAAGATTATATCAAATTACACTGGCTTCCACTTCCTCTCTGGTTAAAAAAAATATCATGCAATTGAGCTACTTCTGCAACAGGAAAGCTGAATTCTCCTAAAAAGCACTGGAGGGGTGACCTGACCTGTCTTAGGAATGCTCGCCAATAAGCCTCTGCTCATTCAGGATGCTGTTGCTACACACACTTTTCCATGAATTTATCCCGTGACTCAGCTGTAATGTTCAGGGGTCCAAAACCACACAGGAGTGGTCAAGCACGTGGGACTTCAAAACAATAAATCAGGGCTTCTGTTGATCCAAGCATTTGGCCATGCCCGTGTGGTTGTGGACCTTAAAATGTTACAGAGGTGCTGTGGGATGATCCTGCAGGAAAGAGGCTTGGGTTGGGAAAGTTATCTTGATACAACCTGGTTTATATATTTTCAAGAGGTTGTTCTCATATTGCTAATACAGTGCAAAAATGCAACTGAACCCTGGGGCTTTGGGACTAGATGGATGGAAGCAAAAAGGAAGACTGGCAAATTAATAATAATAATAATAATAATAATAATAATAATAATAATAATAATTTATTTATATCCTGCCCTCCCCAGCCGAAGCCGGGCTCAGAGCGGCTAACAACAGTAAAAATAACACAGTTTACGTAAAATCATAATCAATTAATTGAAATACATTCTAAAATCAATTCATTCTAAAATCAATTCAGAGCCAAATTAATGGCAACCATTGGGCTAGAGTTCTATGAGGATTACAGAAGGAGGGGGTCAGACTGTGCCTTGGCCAAAGGCCTGGTGGAACAGCTCTGTCTTGCAGGCCCTGCAGAAAGACGTCAAGTCCCACAGGGCCCTAGTCTCTTGTGATAGAACGTTCCACCAGATCGGGGCCATGGCTGAAAAAGCTCTGGCTCTGGTTGAGGCCAGCCTAACCTCTCTGTGGCCCACGATCTCCAAGATGTTTTTATTTGAAGACCGTAAGGTCCTCTGTGGGACATATCAGGAGAGGCGGTCCCGTAGGCACGAGGGTCCTAGGCCGTATAGGGCTTTAAAGGTTAAACCTTTAAACCTGAGCCAGTGCAGGTGTTATAGCACCTGGTGAATGTGATCCCGCAGCGAGGACTCCGTAAGGAGTCTCGCCACGGCATTCTGCACCTGCTGGAGTTTCTGGATCAGTCTCAAGGGCAGCCCCACGTAGAGCGAGTTACAATAATCCAGTCTGGAGGTGACCGTCGCGTGGATCACAGTGGCTAGGTCAGGGCGAGAAAGGTAAGGAGCCAACTGCTTAGTTTGGCGGAGATGAAAAAATGCCACCTTTGTTATAGCTGCAAAGCCACTTATTCAACGCATTTCTATTAACTTCCAAAAGCTCAACAAGCAGAAGGAGATGCCTGCACACATGCCTGATTGCAATACATTTGCAGTACAGGCATTTATGCATGTTCAATTCCCGAACTCATGGGAAAGCAGCAGGGATGTTGCGCTTTCCCACACGTCAGCAGTTAGCCGGGAGTTTCAGCAAAGCCCTGCTGCACTTCCGGCTCACGAGGAGACCTTCCCCAGAGGGGAGCAGGACTTGGCTGAGCAGCTCGGCAGACACGCAGGGAAGAAGTTTCCTCGCATGCCAGCTGTACAAGATCCGTTGCCTCTCTGGCTCACGTGGATCAAGGGGTCTGACTCCACATATTTTTTATTTATTTATTGAATTTATATACCGCCCTATACCCGGAGGTCTCAGGGCAGTTCACAAAAAAGATCACAATATATAAAATAAAAATAAAACAATATCCCAATAATAGCCCCCACAGCACAAGGAGCTGCCATGCTACAGAACCTCCCGCACCCACTGACATAATATGTCTAGGGCCCCTGAGTTTGTCCTCTGCTATACCTGCCCAAGGACTACAGGAAGTAGGAATCGGTCCCATTTGATTACTTACGCCAGAGTCTCCAAATTCAGGTCCTCGGAAGAAGGCATTTCAGTCGCATGAAGGGATACGCTGTTCTCTCTCACAATCTGTTAAAAACAAGCCAGCGGATGCATAGAGTCATTGCCGTTTGTGCAAAGGTTTCTGTAGCTTCGTGGATACACTTTACTTTTTAAAGTCAGAGCCCAGCTGCAAGATTTTAATTTTGGATGCCTGAAAACAAGAGGACTCCAGTAACCTATTCGTCCATTACAGATACAATCTGTAAGCATCACATGTCTTCTCTTATAGAGACTAATGCAAGCTACAGCTCACTTCTACACATGGTTAGCTAGAATTGACTTCCATGAAAGGAGCTTGCTCTCAAGTCAGCATGCTTAGAATGTGTGGTTTGTCTTGTTTATGTGAAATAACATGTCGACTCCATGCATGTCTCTAGCCACAAAGTGTAGAACCCTTTACTGCTGTAAGGGGGAAATGGAGGAAACCAGAAAACTTGGGCAGTTTTGCAGGTCTGCCTACCGGAAGCATCACATGCCTTTTCTTTAGTTTATTACTCTTTAGCAAGGAGCAGAAAAGGTGAAATTATCAGCTGAATCCTGGTTTAAGAACATAAAGGTAAAGGTACCCCTGCCCGTACGAGCCAGTCGTGTCCGACTCTGGGTTGCGCGCCCATCTCGCTTAAGAGGCCGGGGGCCAGCGCTGTCCGAAGACACTTCCGTGTCACATGGCCAGCGTGACAAGCTGCATCTGGCGAGCCAGCGCAGCACACGGAAACGCCGTTTACCTTCCCGCGAGTAAGCGGTCCCTATTTATCTACTTGCACCCGGGGGTGCTTTCGAACTACTAGGTTGGCAGGCGCTGGGACCGAGCAAAGGGAGCGCACCCCGTCGCGGGGATTTGAACCGCCGACCTGACGATCGGCAAGTCCTAGGCGCTGAGGTTTTACCCACAGCGCCACCCGCGTCCCTTAAGAACATAGGAAGAGCCTATTGGACCAGGCCATCTAGTCTGGAATCCTATTTTCCCAGTGGCCGATGCCTATGAAACCCACAAGAGGACCCTCCCCTCCTGTGGTTTCCAGCATTGGGTATTCAGAAGCATTTCTGCCTCTGACTGTGGAGACAGGGCATAGCCATTTGCAGCTAGTAGGCATTGATAGTCTTATCCTCCGTGGATCTGTTGAATCCTCTTTTAAAGCCAAGCTCAGCTACTTGTTCACTGGGCAGAGCAAAGTGGTTGCAAAGGAACTGCAGATACCTGCAACCAACTTGTGCATATCCTGGTTTATTAAGACAGAGGCATTATGGTGAAAACTCGGCCACTGTGTGCACTAGAAAACTCATGGTCCTCTGAAACAGGTGGCATGAAGCAGATGAACAAGGCACCCTCGTCCAGACCTGCTGATGTTTACAGGGTTCCCCGAGGGTAGAAATTCCCTGAACCGCTGGCTTCGTGTACTTCGTGCTACTTACTTGTGGCACATTGCTGTCAATCCACTTAGAACTGGGCAGAATGTCATCCCACAAAATCAAGCACCGAGCAAGCGTCTGCAAACAAAGAAGAGGATCAGAAGAGGGTAAAGGAAAGCGAGTTGTGATGAGCTCAGAAATGGCAATCGTGTAAGAATTCCTAAGGAATCAATTTGAGTTGATCAGGAAGTTACAGGCACTTCTGTTTCAAGCTCAGAACCCAAAAGCACCCTGCAATTCTTAAGACTGTCGGAGAAAACGCAAACCCTCTTTCTCAGGACGGTGCAATAATCTACGCAATAATTCTATTTTGCAAACTCGGTTTGAACGATTTGTGCACCATTACACAACCAGACACTGGCTTTCATAGTCTGCGGTGTTAGATTGGGATTCAAATCCCCGCACGGCCATGAAGCTCACTGGGTGACCTTGGGCCACGGTCTCACAGCCTAACCTACCTCACAGGGTTGTTGTGAGGATATAACGGGCAAGAAAAGAACCACATATGCCACCTTGAGCTCTTTGGAGGAAAGGTAGGATAAAAATGCAATAAACAAACAAGTAATGCCATGAGCCAACAGGACCAGATCAACTGCAAAGTAGCCTTTGACTCAAAGCCTAATACAGTGGTACCTCGGGTTACAGACGCTTCAGGTTACAGATGCTTCAGGTTACAGACTCCGCTAACCCAGAAATAGTACCTTGGGTTAAGAACTTTGCTTCAGGATGAGAACAGAAATTGCACGGTGGCGTCACAGTGGCATCAGGAGGCCCCATTAGCTAAAGTGGTGCTTCAGGTTAAGAATAGTTTCAGGTTAAGAATGGACCTCCAGAACGAATTAAGTTCTTAACCTGAGGTACCACTGTAATTTGAACAAGAGCATCTTGTTTAACTTTCTGAGTTGCATTTCTGGGCTTCCTTTTTTGCTGCTGAAAATCGCAGCATATATATTTTTACACAACAAGCAATTTAGCTGACAGATTCAAGTGCAACTCAAGCTTACATTGCCAACCAATGAGCACGCAGGTGTTTTGGCTTTGCTGAATATTGCACTTCTGCTGGCCACATTTGCCCTTGCATGTAGAAACTTTCTCTTATGCAAAGTGACTCTAAAACTGGGACAGGATGGAGAGCACTGTCGTTTGTGTGTGTGTGTGTGTGCGTGTGTGTGTGTGTGTGTGTGTGTGTGTGTGTTTTCTTAAAAAGATGAATGGCCTAGGCAGGAACGGCAACCAGCATGTGTCCAGACTGAAATATGCAAAAGTAATTCATACAATTTATTTTCACAGATTTGCATAAAGTAAACCCAATAAAAGGTAAACTACTTAGAAGCTTTTGTTGATTCAGTGGTATATAAACCTTCTTTTTTTAAAAAACTCAATAAATAAGGAAATTCCGTTTTGAGCAAAGGGCATTGCAGAAGAGCAAAAAAAACAAAAGACGACCCCAAAATATGAACATACCCTTAACAATAGAAATTCTGGTTTCACGAAGTCCAACAAATACATGGTGTCCGGAGCTCGAAGCCAGTCAGCAATGGACCTAGCAAAATGTAAGTAAAAAAGTAAAATGAAAGAGGTCTGAATTACAATGGCTTGCTCAGGGAAGCATGAAGACATGCTTCAGTAGAGCACATCTTGAATGGCTGAGTTTGCTTGCTGCTTTTCTAACTTCCTCTCTAATCTTTCAGCTCTGCCGCCCTCCTGCTACAATCCTCACCCATTTCAGTAAGTTGCAGAGGGACAATTCCAAATGCTCAGACCGAACTGCAGAGCTTCCTTGCATTTATTGAGTGTCCCTCCATCACATTCTGGGAACTGCCTGCATTGTGATGAGTTGCAAGTACCCTTAAGCATGAAGCCCTGTGATTCTAAAAGGTTACGTCTCTTACACTTAAAGCACGATTCCAAACCCAATACCTGTTGTTAGTCTTTAGGTAGATCATCGCTAGCGCCAGAGTCGCGCCTGGACACGTCACGTCCACATTTATGGTGTCTCCTTCCTGTAAAGATTAAAAGCAGGGAGATAAATCAGCCTGAATGCTAGAGAACGATGTCGCACGCCGCTTTTATATTTACTTACTTTTGTTCCGCTTACAAATGGCTTCCCATAAAAGATCTCAAAGCAATTTCACAACAACTTTGCTTTGTGCGAGAGGTGGGCCGAGGGAAACCTCTGAAGGTGGTCTGATGGACTCCTGCCCCCCAAGAAAAGTAGGACTGAGCCTAACCAGTAACTGAGATGGGAGACTGTCTTGGAACTCCACTGATGGTGCTCTTGTCGGAATCTCCACTCGGCCAAGCTGATAAAGCTCATCTTCCGACGTTAATTAACGACCTGAGCCTCTGATAAGGCACCAAGGCACGTTCCCCCATTCAGCAGAGCTTCCAGCAGCATGCGGAAGTGATGAGATTTGTGGCTACATGGCTAAAGAGTTTTATTTCTCGCTCCATAAAGAGGAAAAAGCAGAATGAGAGGAAAGAGAAAATCTTGGAAAAAATGAAAGAAGGTGAAAAGAAATTGAGGTCTAAACCAAAGTCTCATGAGATTTTGAGGGAAATAAAGTACTACCAGATGCAATACATGGAATTGATGAATCAAGAGATAGAATGGAAAATAAAGCAAATGAGACAAAAGACATTTGAATCGGCAGATAAATGTGGGAAACTTCTGTCATGGCAACTGAAAAAGAGGCAAAAACTGAACACTGTGACAAGCCTGGAAATGGACGGAAAGATTATCCACAAACCAAATGAGATAAGTAATTGTTTCCAAAGTTTTTTCAGGAAATTATATGCACAAGGGCCAGTCAACAAACAAGAAATAGAAGAATTTATCAAGAAGTATGGATTACCAAAGATTTCAGAGCAAAGCAAAATGATTTTGAATGAGAAAATAACAGGACAAGAAATAGAGGGTGCCATTCAGAATATGCAATTGGGAAAATCTCCAGGACCAGATGGTTTGACGGCTAAATATTATAAAGCACTGAAGGAATGGCTAGTACAACCACTGAAGGAAGTTTGCAATGAAATTTTGGAGGGGGAAAAGGCACCTGAATCGTGGAAAGAAGCTTTTATCTCACTTATACCGAAAACTGAGACTGAAAAGAACCAGGTTAAAAACTACCGCCCTATATCATTACTTAATGTGGATTACAAAATTTTTGCAGACATTTTGGCAAAAAGACTGAAGAGAGTGTTGGTAGGGGAGATTCACAAGGACCAAACTGGCTTTCTTCCAGGGAGACATATGTCAGATAATGTGAGGAACATTATAGACATTTTGGAATTGTTAGAAGTGGACATTAATAGGAAAGCTGTTTTAATTTTTGTGGATGCGGAGAAAGCCTTTGATAACATTTGCTGGAGTTTCATGAAGAAGAATCTCCAAGGGATGGGGGTAGGCCAAGGTTTTGAAAACGGTATAGGTGCTATATATTCTAAACAAAAAGCAAAGTTAATTGTAAATAATGTGGTTACGGAAGAAATACCTATAGAAAAAGGTACACGACAGGGATGCTCAATATCCCCTTTACTTTTTATATCAGTCCTGGAGGTCTTGTTAAATATGATCAGAGAGGACCAGTTGGTTAAAGGAGTTCAGGTCGGAGCCAGACATTACAAACTAAGGGCATTTGCAGATGACCTAGTATTGACTTTGCAACAGCCAGATACTAGTACCAAAAGAGTATTAGAACTAATTGAGATATTTGGTCAAGTAGCAGGATTTAAACTGAACAAACAGAAAACAAAAGTGTTGGAGAAAAATCTAACAATGGCTGAAAAAGAGAAGTTTCAGAGTGAAACAGGTTTAGAGATCACAAAAAAAGTGAAGTACCTGGGGGTAAACCTGACTTCTAAGAATGTGAACTTATTTAAGGACAACTATGACAAATGTTGGACAGAAGTAAAGAAAGATCTAGAGATATGGTCAAGATTGAGACTTTCCTTGTTAGGCCGAATTGCTGTCATTAAGATGAATGTATTGCCTAGAATGCTGTTTTTATTTCAGACACTCCAGATCATGGATAAGATGGACTGTTTCAAGAAGTGGCAGAAAGACATATCCAAATTTGTCTGGCAGGGCAAAAAGCCCAGAATAAAATTTAAGATTTTAACTGATGCAAAAGATAGAGGGGGGTTTGCCCTGCCGGACTTAAGACTCTACTATGAATCGACAGCTTTCTGCTGGTTGAAACAATGGCTGCTTCTTGAGAATACAGACATTTTGGATCTGGAAGGGTACGACAACAGATTTGGTTGGCATGCATATATATGGTATGACAAGGTAAAATCGCATAAAGGCTTTAAAAACCATATTGTTAGGAAAGCATTATACAATGTTTGGATAAGATACAAAGACCTATTGGAAAGTAAAACTCCCAGGTGGTTATCACCAATGGAAGCTAAAGAGACTAAAAAACTTAATATGGAGTCGAAATGGCCAAAATACTGTGAAATCTTAGAACAAGACGGTGAAAGAGTTAAACTACAGAGTTATGAGAAATTAAAATCTAAGGTAAGAGACTGGTTGCATTACCTCCAGATAAACGAGGTATTTAAACAGGACAGGAAAATAGGTTTCCAGATGGAGAGGTCAAAATTAGAAACAGAACTGTTAGAATCCAATACTAAGAACTTGTCAAGAATGTATAATTTGCTGTTGAAATGGAATACACAGGATGAAACGGTCAAATCAGCTATGATTAAATGGGCATAAGACATTGGTCATGATATTATGTTTGCTGACTGGGAACAGTTATGGAATACTGGTGTTAAGTTTACGGCATGTAATGCATTAAGAGAAAATATTATGAAAATGATTTACAGGTGGTACATGACTCCAGTCAAGCTTGCAAAAATTTATCATTTGCCCAACAACAAATGCTGGAAATGTAATGAGACTGAAGGTACCTTTTATCACCTTTGGTGGACCTGCCCGAAGAGTAAAGCCTTTTGGGAAATGATCTATAATGAAATTAAGAAGGTTCTTAAATGGACCTTCTCTAAAAAGCCTGAGGCTTTTCTCCTGGGCATGGTTGGCCAATTGGTGACAAGGAAGGATAGGACGTTTTTTATGTATGCTACTGCAGCAGCAAGAATTCTTTTGGCAAAGTATTGGAAGACACAAGAGTTACCCACTCTGGAAGAATGGCAAGCGAAGGTGATCGACTACATGGGACTGGCAGAGATGACCGGCAGAATCCGTGACCAGGGGAAAGAGACAGTGGAAGAAGACTGGAAGAAATTCAAAATTTATCTTAAAAATTGTTGTAAAATTGAAGTGTAATGAGATGTTAAGGTGTTAAGAAATAGAGAATTGTAGCTGTAAACAATAAGTTAAGGAAATTAGAATGAAAGTGAATTAATTAATCAGTTGGAGGGTTGCTGAAGAAAGGTAAAAACAAGGATGCAGAAAAGGGGAGGTATGGGGAAGTCCGGGAAGCAAGGTGTAGGAAGATAAGATTATGAAAGTATACATGTTTATATGTTTGTATGTTTTGTTTGTTTTGTTTGATTGTTTGGTTTTATTATATGCTTGGAAAATTAATAAAAATTATTATTTTTTTAAAAAAAGAGTTTTATTTCTCGCTTCGCAGACAGCAAAGAAAAATACATCCTCTATGAAAGCAGAGAGCAACTGAACAACAAAGGAACAGGAAACCACTAACATCCCATCCCATCTCCTGTCTCCCGTGAGACTTCCAACAGCCTGGAATGTGTCTGGAATGTAAACAGAGCCTTGTGACTCTAAGCAGCTGCTCAGTGGCAAACAGAAACTAACAGCTCTGAGGTCCCTTGAACAAAGGTGCGAAGAAACGAACCAACCTATTCCTTACAAAAGGATGAAGGGGAGAAGCTTCAGTGCACAAAGTCTGATCCTTGCAGTACTCAAAGGGCAGAGCTCAGTTTCAGAGCATCAGCCCCTGGCATCTTCAGGTAGGGCTGAGAAAGACCCCCTACCTGAAACCTTGGGAAGATGCTGCCAGCCAGTGAAGAAAACAGGGAGCGAGATGGACCAACTGTCCAACTCGGAATAAGGCATGGTTTAAGAAAACTGAAGTGTGCACCTTAATCTGGTAGCTTGGAGACTTGTGCTTTTCACGGTGCATTCCAGCTTGAAACCGCCGGTGGCCGCCAACCATATACTGGTAAAGCTGCTCAGGCACGTTGAGGTCCGACATGCCTATCAAGTTGCTGCCGTGCTGCAGGAGGAACGGAGAACAAAGGGTTAAATCAGCCCTATCCTGTTCTACAAACGTGTTTGCGGCCCAAGGTGACTGAAGCACGCTCAGCAAACAGGTGCTGCATTCGGATGGAAATCTAGCAAACAGTCCAGCATCTCTCTCTCTCTATCTCACTCACACTCACACGTTCCCCAAAAGAGAGAGCTACACTTACCCCAAGGCAAACCATGCCCAAAGCTAAGCCAGCAGCTAGCGAATAGGACTCTCTGTCGGTGCAATACTCCATTTCAGGGCCTGGGGGGCGCCCTTAAATTTAAAACAACAATAACAAGAGTAAGTCAAAACTAGAAAGAAAGAAAGAAAGAAAGAAAGAAAGAAAGAAAGAAAGAAAGAAAGAAAGAAAGAAAGAAAGAAAGAAAATAGTTGATTTTTACTCAGTTAAATATTAACCTGAATTTGAGTACTGAAAAGCTTAGATCACCGTATTTTGCTCAATATCATATTACAGTGGTACCTTGGGTTAAGTACTTAATTAGTTCCAGAGGTCCGTTCTTAACCTGAAACTGTTCTTAACCTGAAGCACCACTTTAGCTAATGGAGCCTCCTGCCACCGCTGTGCCACCACCACACAATTTCTGTTCTTATCCTGAAGCAAAGTTCTTAACCCGAGGTACTATTTCTGGGTTAGTGGAGTCTGTAACCTGAAGCGTATGTAAGAAGTGTATGTAACCCAAGGTACCACTGTATCAGGGACAAATCAGGGGCCAATTTGGACAGCTTCCTTAAAGGTTTTAGCCTGTGGCAGCAAAAATAAAATCTACCAATTCGTACAACTGCAAGGAGGTCTCCATGAAATCATTTGCGAAGGGAAGCCCACACAGCGCTCGCTCCAGATGTTGTGGACTACAACTTAGCTTTAGCCAGCATGGCCAGTGGTCAGGGATGTGGATGCAAGTCCAGTAACATCTGGAGGGCACCTGTGTTGGCTACTTGCACAAAACATTTGTGACCCGGATGCCACCCCAAGAGATTTCCTCTCTGGAGCTTTACCTATTTCCGACAGCAGAACCTCGGCCGTGTGCCTGTGAGCCGTGCCTTGGTAGACCAAGCCAATCCCTATCACGGCTGCCACTTGTACATTGTGAGGCACATCCAGTTCGGTGGAAGTGGGCGGGAGAAGAGCAGGGATGTGGATGCTGAGCAGGCGAGTGATGGACATGTCCATGGTGCCCAGCTTGGCGGCTGAGACCCCAAGCAGCAGCCCGATGCTCGTCATTTCGTGGCCCTGCCAGGAGAAACAAACGCATTCATCAGGTGCCTTTTTTGAATGGAACAAATGCACAAACACACATTCATGAGCTGCACCCCAAACTGAAAAGCCTGAGGCCATGTTTCAGGATTCTTTTATTTATACATCTTAATCAGATAAGTGCTGGAGCTGCAATGAGGTCAAACGTATGTTCTTTCATATGTGATACACCTGTAAAAGGGTAAAAGAGTATTGGGAAATAATTTATAATGAACTGGAAAAAAATGTTTAAAAGCACCTTTCCAAAAAACAAACAAAAAAACCCCAGAGTTATTTTTGCTGGGGATAATTCAGATGGAAATTCCCAGGTGTCAAAAAAGGCTATTTATGTATGCCACTACGGCAGCCCATGTTTCGTTAGCCCAAAAATGGAAAACAAGCACGGTCCCAAAGAAGAATGGCAACTTAAACTGATGGAACATGCGAAGCTTGTGGACCTAACATATAGAACAAGAAGAACATTGGTTTAAAGAAGATTGGGAAATATTTTCTTAATATATGGGAGGAATTGTGTACACTTGAAAACGTTGGCAGCATTAAGATGTATTCAACAGTGTAAATAAGTTTTGACGGAAGTAATAATGGAATACTGAATGGTTTAGTTTATATAAAATATGCAGGGATTTATGCTATGTAAAATGAACTATGGAAAGAGAAGAAGGGATGTCACTGATATTTTAAGGTTGTATAAATGAATATTCTAAATTGTAAAACAGAAAATTTAATAAAAATTATATTCTTTAAAAAAGGATTCATTTATTTTAACATACACCACACACAAACAACAAACACATATTGTTTGGAGGGGGCCCTTCCTTGCCCCCCATGACTAATTTTTTTTAGGGATGTGGGGAACTGCAGCGGTTAGGGAGGAATTGGCAAAGATCTAGTGCCTTGCCTTGCCCAAGGAGAAAAGCTTTTCACCAGTGCGAAGCCATCGTTGATAAAACCATGGTTTGCTGCGATGCAGTAATGACGGTTACAGTTGCTGGTCTGCCTCTGGAGGCAGAACTGCCGGGCAAGCGGAAAACAAAGGCAGACAAGCAGGCTTGAACTGTGGTTGCCTGTATGTCTGGGTACTAAACTACGATTAGCAGAAACCATGGTTTGGCATGACCACCTGACTATAGTCAGGAATGCAAAAATTGTGACGTTCTCCTCCCTTTGCCTTTGGGTCAAGCGTCTCACCTTTGTCAGGTAGTCATGGATGTTGAGTGTGGCGAGCTTTGTGAGGTGGCCGTTCAAACCCAAGGCCATGAGGAAGCCTGCATATTCATTGGCTAGTTCGGCATTTTTGGGTTTGTTGTAGACGATCCATGCAGAATCTATCTGAGAAGCAGGCGCGATCTTCAGTCCAGCAGCAACGCCATTGTGGAAGTTGGCCCAGCAAGCCATGTTCGGAGGCACATCTATGTTCCCACTGTTGAGGTCCACTGTGGTATTCCTAGGAGGAGCCCGGCCTACAGGGTGCAGAACGACCAACTGCATGTGAATCGGAACCGTAGAAGAAAACCCCTTTCTGCTTGGGAGGGCTAAGCATAGTTAGCTGCTTTGGCGTCACAGTAAGCTACAGTGGTGCCTCAGGTTAAGAACTTAATTCGTTCTGGAGGTCTGTTCTTAACCTGAAACTGTTCTTAACCTGAAGCACCACTTTAGCTAATGGGGCCTCCTGCTGCTGCCGCACCGCCGGAGAACGATTTCTGTTCTTATCCTGAAGCAAAGTTCTTAACCCAAGGTAATATTTCTGGGTTAGCAGAGTCTGTAACCTGAAGCGTATGTAACCTGAAGTGTATGTAACCCGAGGTACCACTGTAAACATCAAACTGACTTGTGTTTTATATATGCTGTAAGCCTCTCAGAGTGGCTGGGGAAACCCAGCCAGATGGGCGGGGTATAAATAATAAAAATATTATTATTCTTTATTATTATGACAGTGGCCTGGTTCGATTGCTGCTTATGGCCATGGAGGCAGAGCATAGCCATCACAGCTAGTAGCCCGACAAACCCTCCTTCGAGGAACAAACTTGCTATAAGAGCCACTAATTTTTGTTCCTGTTGTGACTCCAACTATCCCTAAATTTCCTTCCCTCCTTCAGATTCCCCCACTCCCTAATCCAGAGGAGTGTCATGGATTTCATGCTACAATGGTAGCATTGTAGAGCAGGCAGTGCTGTGTGTGCGTGAGCTCGCAGGTAAATCAGGTTATCATGCTACATATTGCAAGAACACACCTGTCAGGTTTAATTTGGGAATAGGCAACGGTTCTGTTGGAACTGGATGATACGAGAACAGAGTGAACATTCCTCTTCCCAAAGGGAGAGCCATCGTCCGCTGACACAACTGCAGCAGCCTATGGTGAAAACCGAACACAGAAAAGAATGCAACCAACAATATTATTCCTTTCTAAACACACACACACACACACACACACACACACACACACACACACTTATACCAACGGGTTAACTAAATTATGTTACATTCAACTTTAAAACAGGCAATAAAAAGCTGTAGGAATATAAAATACAAATAAAGAAAGCATTTCTCACGGTGTTCCGAATACATCTAGTGCTTTTTTCTGGAGGTACGCATACCCCTAAACATTTTGTGAATCTAAGTTTGGCCTCATTGAGGGGCAGTATTTCAATATGAGTAGGAAAATGAGAGTACAGTGGTACCTCGAGTTAAGTACTTAATTCGTTCCGGAGGTCCGTACTTAACCTGAAACTGTTCTTAACCTGAAGCACCACTTTAGCTAATGGGGCCTCCTGCTGCTGCCGTGCCGCCAGAGCACGATTTCTGTTCTCATCCTGAAGCAAAGTTCTTAACCTGAAGCACTATTTCTGGGTTAGCAGAGTCTGTAACCTGAAGTGTATGTAACCTGAAGTGTATGTAACCCGAGGTACCACTGTACCCTTAGTTCTTAGAGAGAGAAAACACCGCATCAAACATTCCACCAATGAGAAATATGCAAAGCAGATAGGAAACCTGTGAATCTGTGGACAGGGTGACAGATGAACGTATGAATTTTTATTTCTCCATACTTTATTTGTGAACATTTTATGGCAGGCAGCAGATTGTGTGAATGGAGTCTACTGAAAAAGACAAAGAGTTTGAAGTGATGCAAGGACTTGTCTGTGGTGATTGGTCTGCAATGGCCCAGTCACTCTTATGCAAGTCATCAGTTTAAGTCATCCAGTGAAATATTAAATATAGTCTACCCTGCTTTTTTCTTTCAGGCTAGGATTCTTTATCTGTGGTCTTGGGCTCAAGATGGACCCTGTTTCTTTTCCCATCCTCTCTTTTGGAAGCACCTGAACTCGGGCAGAAGACAAGAGAGAGCCCCTCCAAACAAACCAACTGTGTTCTTTATGTTTTGATTATGCCTGGGGAGGCTTCCACAGCTATTGCCTGTGCCAAGAGCTCTTCCAGACTGACAGGTCTGCAGGGGATTTGGCATGTCAAGCAGCAGAGACATCAAAGGTGCTTCCAGGCAACAATGTTTACTGAAGATTCACCCCAATTTGTTTGCAGGGAGATGATATTTGCTATTGAATGCATAAGGTAAAGGTAAAGGGACCCCTGACCATTAGGTCCAGTCGTGACCGACTCTGGGGTTGCGGCGCTCATCTCTCTTTACTGGCCGAGGGAGCCGGAGTACAGCTTCCAGGTCATGTGGCCAGCATGACTAAGCCACTTCTGGCGAACTAGAGCAGCGCACGGAAACGCCATTTACCTTCCCGCTGGAGCGGTACCTATTTATCTACTTGCACTTTGATGTGCTTTCTAACTGCTAAGTTGGCAGGAGCAGGGACCGAGCAACGGGAGCTCACCCCGTCGCGGGGATTCGAACCGCCAACCTTCTGATTGGCAAGTCCTAGGCTCTGTGGTTTAACCCACAGCGCCACCCGCGTCCCCCCCTTTTTTTTGCATATTCCTTACGATTTGTTTGTGGGTAGGTTAGATGATGTTACATCAGAGCAAATGCTCTACAGTGTATTTCCCTGTCACTTTCCTTACTGCAGAAAGTCCAGTCTTTGGCAATCTGTGGGTTTGTTGCACCAGAGCTCCCAAAGAACCAATTTTGCAACCTGAATTTGCCCTGTGAGACCTGCATTGCGGGGGGGGGTGAACTAGACAATCTTTTGGGTACTATCCAACTCTACAATTCTATGATTCTACGAATCCCACTCAAAAACAGTGACAGTCTAAAGTGCCCTAAATCTCAAACCTGCAAAAGAACACAGCATTTTCATTAAGGAAACTGTCTACTGAGCTTCCTGCCTCCCACTCCATCGCTGATTCCCAGCATCCTTAAGAACTTCCCAGTGCCTGGAATCACTGCTAGGAAACCTGACTCTGGCAAACGTGGGGATCTCTGCAGTGACACAATATGACACTCCGACAAACAAGCTTCTAGGAAAGCCAACAATTTACCGGTTTTCTTTTTCTTCTATATATTCGTGGTCACTGACTTCTGGCATCTGAACTACATTGACACGGACAGGGTGAGCACTCTGCAGAAGTCTGCGCACCTCTTGCACTCTCAGGTCTTCGCTCCCATATTAGTGACATCACTTCCTGGTTCATATCATTCATTCCGCGTCCTCCTCTTCTGACTCTGCGTTGAGGGCAGTTCGGAGGAGAAGCACCTGGGTGTCAGACTTTTGGAGAGAGAGAGAGAG